TTCTCAAATAGTTCAGCCAACTGGGGACCAAGTATTCAAATATATGAGTTTATGAGAACCATTACCATTCAACCACCAAACATGGCACTTTTGAACCCATAGCTTTGATTCCCTGCACGAGACCCACATAAGATCAATATTCTGTCCAGGAATTGGGAGAGGTCCAAGAGAGTCACTGAAGGTTGTTGGGGGATAGAGAAATTTCTTCATTGCTGTGATCACTAGTAAGGTGCTTGTGTTCCTTTCTAAAGCCTTTCGCCCAACCTTAATGAAACCTTGATAACTCATTGGTTTGTTGAGGGGGCAGGGGGAGAAAGAAAGGAAAGTAGACGAGGGCCAGACTATCTGGGAAGAAGATGCATTATATACATCTACAAAAATATCATGATGAAATCTATTATTATTTATAGTTAATAAATGATAATTAAAAAGACAAATGTTTTTAAGTGACAAAAAAAGGCCTAAGAGACCTAAAAACAACAACAGATTTACACCGTTTCTCCACTAGCCATAACAAAAATTCTTGCTTCTCTGAGAAACTAGCTCCAACCCACCAGTTTATCTTTTATTACCTAACCGCAGTCACCCTTTGCTCCCACCTCCACACACAACAAATGATTCCACAGCTTGTTACCCTTCCTCACCTGCCTGTGAGCTGCCGCTCCTCCACCTGGTCTTCAAGGCAGCTCAAAGTACCCTAATCCCACAGCCAGAATGAGATCAGAGTTGGCTGGGCTGTTTTAGACTCAAGAGCAAAAACAAGTCCATGTTAAACAGACAAGCAAGGCGGAAACCTGTTACTCAGCAGCTGGAAGTCCTGGGATAACACCAGAATTAAGGATCGTTGATTCATCAGGCTGACAAAAACAGCCTCAGGCTGCTGTGTCCTGCCTGAACCAGCATCTGTATCATCCTGGAGCTGGTATCCTTGGTAACCAAAGGTGACTGTAAGACGCAACAAGAAAGGATGAATGAAGGAAAACACGAAGAGCAGTCTTCAGCTGCAGTTACAACTGTGCCGAGAATGCACATCCCCACATCTAAAGAGGACCTAAAACACCATCAGATTCTTGAGAATAGCGTAAAGAAACCAGAAAAGACTGAGCAAATGACAACAGAGAGAGGAAACACAAGGTGAGCAAACGCCAACTGAAAAGAAAATTTAAAATATTAATGTTATTTTTATAATATTAAAAGAAATTTACTTCTTAACACTTATTAATTCTCTTATAACCCTTGGAATTGACAAGCTACCAGGGATGGAACCTACAGTTGGCACATTCATACTCTCTTAGTTGTGCTAATAGAGAATTCCAGTTCCAACAGTCCTCCTGTCTTCTCCCATACAGCGCTAGGTTTACAGGTCCACAGAAGACCACACTTTGTTATCATATAAGACCGCAGCTTATTCTATAGGTGCTGGCATCTGAATTTAAGTCCTCAGACTTGGGCAACAAGTACTGTTACCCACGGAGCCATCTCTCCAGCACCCAGTAGCAGTAATTTTCAAAGGAAGCATCTGTTGCTGTCTGATTTTGAAGTAAAATATTTCCACAACCCATGTTGATATGTAAAGAAAAATTTACAAATAACAAGTTACTCTTAATTCAACTTCCCCTGGAAGTAAATGCTGTGTAAGCATGGTTGATATTTTGATTTATATGATTTTTTTCCTAAGGAAACTGCAACAAAAGATTTATATGATTTTAAGTGTATCCTATCCATCATAATGTTTGATACCAACCCTGAGTACCTCTGGAGGTTTTCATCATTTCAGACTGCAATTCTGCCCCCATTAAACATCAACTCCCCATTCCCCACACCTTCATTTGGTTTCCACTCTCTATCAAACCCTCTTAGGTTTCTTAAATAAATGTCATCAGAGCACTTTTGTTGCCTTTTGTGGCTTCTTTAACTTAGTCTGCTGAGTGACCTTAACATTCTTCAGAAAGTCCTTTTGAAAACACATACGAGGCCTTTTTTTTTTTCCAGGATTCCCAACTATTCCATTGATCTACACATCTGAGTTTTCACTGGTACACACTATACTTGTGTGTGTTGTGTGTGTGTGTGTGTGTGTGTGTGTGTGTGTGTGTGTGTGTGTGGTTTGTTGGTTGGTTGGTTTTCCGAGACAGTATTTCTCTGTGTAGCTTTGGAGCCTGTCCTGGAACTCACTTCATAGACCAGGCTGGCCTCATACTCAAAGAAATCTGCCTGCCTCTGCCTCCCAAGTGCTGGAATTAAAGGCATGTGCCACCAACACCCAGCTACCACACTGTTTTTGTTACCATCGATTTGTAATGAATTTTAGAATCAGAAATTAGAAGCCTTCCAAATTTATTCTTTTCCAAGTTTGTTTTGCTGTTTGGGTCCTTTGAGATGTCAGGCGACTCTTAGGGTGCAGTTTTCTATTTCTGGATAAAAGGTTGCTGGGGTTTTGATAGAGTTGCCTTGACTCTGTGGATTGCTTTGGGTACTCTGTGGGTAGTTGTGACATCTAAATGATACTAAAGATTCTGATCCACAAGCACAAGATTTCTTTCCACATGTTTATAACTTGTCTACCTTTATCTTCAGAACTGTTTTTGTAGTCTTATGTTTGACATACTTACTTTCTCCCCCTTAACATATGGTGAACATTTTCTATATCCTTATATAAATTCTCAGGTTTTTGAGATGATTTTGATTGGCCACAGAGCAACTTATCAAACAGATGTTTTATAATTTACTTAATTCACATACTGTTCTGGATATTTTTTTTTTTTTTGGTTTTTCGAGACAGGGTTTCTCTGTATATCTCTGGACATCCTAGAACTCACTCTATCGACCAGATTGGCCTCAAACTCACAAAGATACTCCTGCCTCTGCCTCCCGGAGTGCTGGAATTAAAGGTGTGTGCCACTACCACCCAGTTCTGGACATTTCTTTATATCTAATTATTAGATAACTGTCTCTGTCTTTTTATACACTTTTAACCATGTCTTTCAGACAGATTCTAGAGATGTTCATATTAGATCAAAAGAATAAGGACTGAACTTTCAAAAAAATATATAACATCCAGGTGGGGGTGGAGCACACCTTTAATCTCAGCACTCGGGAGGCAGAGACAGTTGCATCTCTGTGAGTGTGAGGCCAGCCTGGTTTACAAAGTGAGTTTTAGGATAGCCTGGGCTATGCAGAGAAACCCTGTCTCAAAAAGCAAACAAATTAACTAAGAAACAAATGTCCAGCAGCGGCTGGAGAAATAGAACAGTTATGAACCCTGGCTGCTCTTCCAGAAGACTCAAGCCCCAGTATATGCAGTGACTCGCAACCATCCGTGTCTCCAGTTTCAGGTGGTACAAACCCCATTTTCTGACTATTGCAAGCATTGGGGGTGCATGTGGTACATACACATATATGCAAGCAAAATGCTCACACACATAAAATAAATCTTTTAAAAATTATAAATAAAAATAAATAATGTACATCAGAGGTGCCTTGTTTTGGTACAAGACTATAGTCCCAAGATGGAGCAAAGAATGGCCCTATAGCTAACCACCAGGGGGGCAGAGGGAGCACAGGAACAAGAGGATGTTTACCCAGAAACTGTCCTCAAGATGAACCCCAAGAGGAGGGGTAGACCCGTGGGCCCTACATCAATCAATCCAGTTAATTTTGTTCAAGGAAAACAATTTCGAGTATGGGACCCAGGCACTAAGAGCCCTACTTTGGAATGAGATGGTGTGTTTGAGGCTAGAGCAGCTTCCTCAAAGGTGATGGTTCTCAAGGCCAAGAGGAAAGGATATTTGGTTTTCCAGGACAGCTGGAAGAGCAATCCCGGCTGTCACAGTTACATGAGTGGGCCAGCTGACACCTGCAGGTAGAGGCAGGATGCTAAGAAGCATCTTGCATTGCTTAAGACAGCATGTTTCAGCCCAAATGTCAGCATTGTGCCAAGGTTGAGAAACCTTGCTTTAAAGAGAGTGTGATACCTGTTAGTGCTGGGAGTCTTGGGGACAGGAGGAGAGTCCAGTCCCTGTAACCCATGCGTTGGCTACAGAGCAATCAGGGTTTGCTCTAGCGTGATGAAGGCAGTCTGCCTGCAAGACTGTGTGATTCCGAATGCTCTCCTTACAAATTCCCTTGTATTTGATTGTTGCAAATCAATGAATCGGGTTGATTTTCCAGCAGAACTTACCAGTGTAATAATGATGGGTCACCCGTGAGCCCCAAGGCTGAAAGTCTCGCTGGTTGTGCTGTGAGAGGCACGGGTGATGAGTCCAAAAAGATGAGGCTGATTGCACTCACACTCAGGGTTCAGGACTGAGATGTCTAAACAGTGTTTCTTTAAGAATCATTAGTTCTCTGGTCCCAGCTGATCATCACAGAGCTTATAAGAAAGCTCCTTTTTGTTTGTTTGGTTGATTGGTTTTGTTTTTCAATAGAAGGCTTCTTTGTGTAACTCCTGGCTGTCCAGGAACTCACTTTGTAGAGCAGACTGGCTTCAAACTGGCAGAGATCCTCCTGCTTCCGCCTTCAGAGTGCACCACCATCCCCTGCTATAAGAAAGTTCTTCAGGACACAGCAGAACCCCATTCGACCCCCACCAACCTGTGAAGGTTCATTCAAGCAGTCTTCCACTTTTTCTCTTGAAGCCTTAGCAGGCCAGGTAACTATCCTGCATTGTTATTCAAATACACATTGTTTGAATTTGTAAAAGGTATCTAAAATATTTCATTACAAAGGTTAATCAGTTAAGCACCTTTGCTCCATTTCAGTTTCCCAAATCCGCTTCATTTAAAGCACAGAGCGGCATCAAGTGACCCTTTAAACCAGGTCAGTGATTCGTCATCCCTTCGAAAGCTCTGGACAGACCAAGAGAAAACATACAATAACCCACGCCTCCCCCACAGTCATTATATAGAAAGGAGAGAGAGAAAGCGCCAGTCCCACCGCGTGCCCCTTTTGTGTTGTTCCTGCCAACACAGCAGACCTCCTGCTATATAGACCCTGCTCCCAGCCCTACACACCCAACAGCACCATCCCATCCGAACTGCCAACACCAGCCATGGGGAAGGTGAGCCCAGGGCACCCAGGGCCTGGGGAGGGACCAGCCCTCGGGTCTATGCCACAACAGACCTCTGAGCCTTGCCTTGCCTTCCAGATCACCTTCTATGAGGACCGCGGCTTCCAAGGCCGCCACTATGAGTGCAGCAGCGACCACTCCAACCTGCAGCCCTACTTCAGCCGCTGCAACTCTGTGCGCGTGGACAGTGGCTGCTGGATGCTCTATGAGCAGCCCAACTTCGCAGGCTGCCAGTACTTCCTGAGGCGTGGGGACTACCCTGACTACCAGCAGTGGATGGGCCTCAGCGACTCTGTCCGCTCCTGCCGCCTCATCCCCCACGTGAGTCCCTTCCCAGCGCCCCACCACCACCCCCTACAGTCGACTGTCTCTGAGTTCTTTGCTTACTAAGTTCTCCAAGGTTCCCTTGAAAACACGTTTGAAGTAAAGTTTTCCACTGGTCATTCTCATTTATTTTGCTGAAATCAAACTTGCCAGTGCTGGGACTAAGCCGAGGACCGTTTGGTTCTGAGCCTCTGGGCCCTGGGAGTGAATGCCAGCAGGCTGCCTGGTGAACTGAGGCCGTTCACCCCTGTTTCCGACTTCATGAACTTATCAGGCCTGGTCAAACAGGGTTGAGCTGACAGGAATAGCTGAGTTACATAACGCCTGCCATGAGATTGGGAAACGGGATTTCGAAGCTTTGGGAACACCCTGCTGTTATCCAAGGGGAGCCCCAACAGTTTGGATCCCATCTATTGTCTAATACGGGGAACATGCCAACTCTGTGAGGGTGAACCCTCCTTTGGATATTAGTCACAGCCTCCTGCTTCATCCTCCCTCCCTCCTTTTCTCCCTCTCTCCTCGGTCTTTAAGATAGCCTTGCTTTGCAGCCTATGGGTGTCAGGACCTGGGGCAACAAAAAAAGATATCTGGGTTAGGCTTTCTTCCTGAATTCTCCATCCTCTTCACATGGAAGAGGCAGTTTAATTTCCTCTCCCTCCAGTTTCTCCTAATGCTACTGAGATTCAAGACGGTGGCTTTTGCTAAGGTTACATTTGGTTTTTCATTGTAATATCAAATTATTTTTATGCCTTCCAAAAAAGAGCCTCAGACCACCATGAATCTTGGGGGCGGGGAGGGGGGGACGACAGAAGAAATAGTTGCTTAAAAATGGCGCTGAGGAGAAGCAGTGTGTTGACGACAGTGCCAGAGAACGGTTTATGTCCAAGGAACGGTGGGTGGTGGTGACCTCCTGAGTTTGGCTGTGCCCATCCTCCTGAACTACGCACGGTGGCCTTTCTTCCAATTCAGTCACCTCTGGTATAGAAAAGGTAAGGGGTCCACCCCGCAGGCAGCATGTGCTGATTGCCGAGCTCAGGTCAGGTTTCTAACGTCCCCTTGTCTGCTCTGCGTGCGCACAGTCCAGCTCTCACCGGATCAGGATGTACGAGCGCGAGGACTACAGAGGTCAGATGGTGGAGATCACCGACGACTGCTCCCACCTCCAGGACCGCTTCCACTTCAGTGACTTCCACTCCTTCCACGTGCTGGAAGGCTACTGGGTCCTCTACGAGATGCCCAACTACCGGGGGCGGCAGTACCTGCTGAGGCCCGGGGAGTACAGGCGCTACCACGACTGGGGCGCCGTGAACGCCAGGGTGGGCTCTCTGCGGAGAATCATGGATTTCTACTGAAATATTTTTACTCTACCATTTTCTCCATCTGGACATTAATAAAATATTTCCTGTGTGTTTCATGCAATAATGGAGTCTTCTGTTTCTTTCACCCTCAGTGGGAGGGGACAGCAGAGCTATAGCCAGAAATGATGTGGATGGTCCCATACATTTGGTGGGTGGGAAAGGGAAGGCAGATGAAGACACGCGCAGCTTGAGCCAGCACAGATCTTCCCGAAAAACCTGAAGTGGGGGTGTCTCTGTAAGTGTCAGAGCCTACCTCCTTCTGTTTACTAGCTGGGGGGTTTAGGGTCATGGAGAGGGGCTTGAAAAGGGTTCCTTTTGGGGTCACTGTTGGCCAAAACTAAAGCAACCAGTGAGCAGTCAGCTCAAAGACATCTGGAGAGCCATACCCATCTTTCCCACTTGGCCATTACTGGAGGTCCACGGGGCAGGGTAGTCAAGAGTGTAGAGAAAAAAGTGACAATATTTCTACAAGTCAAACCAATGTAGCTACAGAAATGATTGTAGCTCATCTGGAATGGAGGAGGGTCACAAAATGCCATGGCCCTGGCTAACACCTGGGTCCTGCCCACTCACTAGCTTCAAGTGGTGGGTTACATCACTTGGCACTTCTGTGCCTCAGTTTCCTAGTTTGTGAAGAAAGGGGCAATAGTCCTGGCCAGATGAAGATCAAGTATGCATTTTGTGATCTGTTTATGGTGATTCTTTTATAGTGGAACCAGGCTCAAATTAACTGTAGCCTGTCCATAAGAATTTGTAACAAAGCTACAATAAAACACTTCTTGTTTTGAGTATTTGAACCAAAGTCAGTGCTTGTATTGATGATGAATTGAAGGTCAGCTATATGGTAGTCTCTCAGAATACCTTACTAAAATTTTTAGACCCTGGACTCCTGTCCCTGGCAGCTAATTCTTTTGCACACAAAATTAAAGAGCTACAAGTCTAAGTGGTTTTATAGCTCAGAATCATATCCAAAAAGAGTCACATCTTCATTTTAAATACTGTGCTCTGCACTAGAAAATGACGATAAATAGAATAGGATCCTTCACACACACACACACACACACACACACACACACACACACACACACTTGCAAAGAGAATTCAAAATAAAATAAATCTTTCTAAAAATTAAAAGGAATCTGGGCATAGGGACACACACCTTTAATTCCAGTACTTGGGAGGCAGAGGCAGGGGGATATCTGTGAGTTTGAGGCCAGCCTGGTCTACAGAGCGAGTTTCAGGACAGCCAAGACTGTTACACAGAGAAACCCTGTCTTGAAAAATACAAAAAAACAAAACAAAACAATTAAAGGGAACTTTAAAACTTAAAGAGAACATGAGGTAAAGAGGAAATATGTGGCATGCACTATTTATCCTACTTAGGCATCCATGGATCCCTATTTTTTTTCCTTAGCAGTCCCTGAGATCAAGTGAAAGGCCTCACCTGTGCAAGGCAGTTCCTATACTGAATGTGGATAGAGCTTGCCTAGAAAAAGAGTTGGTACCAGGGTGAAGACAGACACTACCCCCCTCTTCCCCGACTCACACAGTCCTAGCCCGCAGGGTGAAGACGGACACTACCCCCCCCCCACTTCTCCTACTCACACAGTCCTAGCCATCAGGGTGAAGACGGACACTACACCCACTTCTCTGACACACACAGTCCGAGCCATCAGGCTGAGGCAGAATACCTACAGGAGCCCTTCCTGGGGCAAGGCCTGGCTGAGGTGTCAGCAGATAGTTCTGGGAGGAGCCAGGAAAAGAGCAGTGACAAATGACCACGGATAGAACCAAACTGAACTCATGATTGATTGCAGTGGAATTACTCAAGAATCAAGAAGACATTATTGCCGGGGGTTGATGGCACACACCTTTAATCTCAGCACTCGGGAGAGAGAGGCTGGCAGATCTCTGTGAGTTCAAGGCCAGCCTGGTCTACAGAAGTTTCAAGACAGGCTCCAAAAACTCTCTCTCCCTTTCTCTCTCTCTCTCTCTCTCTCTCTCTCTCTCTCTCTCTCTCTCTCTTTCTCTTTCTCCTCATCCTTCCCTCCTTCCTCCTGTCTTCCTTCTTTAAAATGGAAAATCTGGAAGCCTTCTGTGACAGAGGGAGATCAAAAGGATAACAATTCCTTAGATGCCAACTTTTTCAAGCATTTGCCTTGTCTTCCTCCACTGAGGAAGCCTTTAGTCTAGAGAAGTGCGCCACCTAGTGCTCACTATAAGAAAGGCAGTTGTCGAAAGCCTGTTTCAGACTCAGGAAGGCTGAGCTTTATTTTGCACCCTTTTAAAATACTGTAAAAGCTTCTCTAGGATCACGAATAATAGGCTCAAAGACCTTTAATTATGTCTAGAATCCACTTATGAGTGAATACATACCATATTCCTCTTTTTGGGTCTGGCTTACCTTACTCAGTAAAGCATTTTCTATGTCCATCCATTTGCATGCAAAATTCAAGATGCCATTGTTTTTTACCGCTGAGTAAAACTCTAATGTTCCACACCTTCTTTAACCATTCTTCTATTGAGGGGCACATAGGTTGTTTCCAGGTTCTGGCTATTACAAATAGTGCTGCTATGAACATAGTTGAACAAATGCTTTTGTGGTATGATAGGGCATCTCTTGGGTATATTCCCAAGAGTGGAATTGCTGGGTCTTGAGGGAGGTTGACTCCCAGTTTCCTGAGAAACCGCCACACTGATTTCCACAGTGGCTGCACAAGTTTGCATTCCCACCAACAATGGATGAGAGTTCCCCTCTCTCCACATCCTCTCCAGCATAGGCTATCATTGGTGTTTTTGACTTTAGCTAATCTGACCAGTGTAAAATGGTATCTCATAGTTGTTTTGATTTGCATTTCTCTGATCGTTAAGGATGTTGAGCATGACCTTAAGTGTCTTTTGGCCATTCGAAGTTCTTCTGTTGAGAATTCTCTGTTCAGATCAGCACCCCATTTTTTAATTGGGTTAATTAGAGTTTTAGCTAAATAAGAAGGTGAACCTGAAGAAAATCATGTAGTTATCCTCCTGGAGATTGGAAATAGACAAGAGTCCCAGGTAACCTCGGGTGCATGGGGGGATGGGAGGGTTGTTGGAAGGGGAGAGGGTTAGAGAGAAGGGATTAGGGGAGGAATGGGGAAAGCTCGGGGGAGTGGGAATGGGGGGGAGGGAGGAAGGATGGATATGGGATCAGGTAAGAATATATCTCAACTAAGGGAGTCATTTTAGGGTTTACAAGAGACTTGATTATATATGGGATCCCAGGTCCAAGGAGAGATCCCGGATTGTTCTCTGGACAGAGGAGAGGGTGTCTGAACTGCCTTGGCCCATAACCATACTGATGAATATTTTGCTTATCACCATAGAACCTTCATCTGGTGATGGATGGAGATAGAGACAGAGACCCACATTGGAACACTGGACTTAACTCCCTAGGTCCAAACGAGAAGCAGAAGGAAAGAGAACGTGAGCAAAGAAGGCAAGACCAGAGGGAACCTTCATCCAACGATGGATGGCGATACAGACGGAGACCCACATTGGAGCACCGGACTGAGCCCCCCAAGGTCCAAATGAGGAGCAGAAGGAGGAAGAACATGAAAAAGGAAATCAGGACCGCAAGGGGTGTGATCACCCACTGATACAAGGGGACTGATCTAATGAGAGTTCACCAAGGCCAGTTGGACTGGGACTGAATGAGCACGTGATCCAACCAAATTCTCTGAGTGTGGCCGGATTCTCTGAATGTGGCTGGCCCAGAGTCTTTCTGAAAAGCCATTGACAATGATACTGGGACTTGTTTCCTCTGCATATACTGGATTTTTTGGGATCCAGTCTGTTTGGTTACTCACCTTCCTGGACCTGGAGGGAGGGGGGAGGAACTTGAACTACCCACAGGGCAGGAAATCCTGACTGCTCTTAGGGATGGAGAGGGAGGAGGAGAGGGAGTGGGGGGAGTAGGAGGGTGTTGGGAGAGGGGTGGAAATGGAAACTTTTATAATTTAATAAACTTTGAAAAAAAACAAATTGGAAAAAAATACTGTAAAAGCACTGTCTGCGTGCAGAGAAAACACAATTTAATTTTATTAAACAAATATAAATTGTATTTTAAAAGAACTGTTGAACATGGTGTTTCATGAAGTCCAGCAACTACAGGGAAAGGTCTCTTTAGTGGAGAAGCCAGAATTTGCATTGTGCTCCGTGTAACTCTTCCATCTAACAGATACCCATCCGACGTTTGAAACTTCAAGTTTTCAAGGAAAGAGATCCCACGTCCTCCACATAGTTCCTCTTCTTACTGTCAAGCCCAACCTCTGACTTTCCTGCAGTTTCTCGCAAATGCTCTTAAAATCTCCCTATTCTTAGCACCGCCGGCAATATTCTCCATCTTGCTGACTGACTTCTTCTGGTTTTCTGTCCCTCGCTCAGTGCCTACACTGAAACATGGAAATGTTTATCCTGCACATCGGGAGACATCTTAAATGGACCCGAGAGCCCCCAGAGCATAGTGTCCTCCTCTGCCATGCTCCGTGCCTTTGAAAACCATGCTGCCCTGAGAGCATGTCTGCCCTGAGAGCATGTCTCCAAAACTGTCCATCTTCTGCCGGAATCTCGCTCCCAGTGTCATGCGCCTCGAGAAGTGTTGATACAGCTCTCAAGTCCAGCCCAGATCCTCACACCTTTGGGCTTTCGTGTGTATTCCAGAAATCCCTAGATGTGGAATTGTGCCACAGGACCCGGATGCCAGAGCCCTTCATGGAACAACCAGATTTTAGTTTTGAAGTCTACTCTCTTCCACTTCATACATTTATCTATTTATGTTTGGGGGGATAGGCACACGTATGCTGCAGTTCTTGTGCGGCGGCGGAGGACACACAGTTCGTAGAAGTTGATCAAAGATCATAACTCAGGTTGCCATCTTGGCAGCCAGTGACTCCGCCGACGGAGCCGTCCTGCCAGGCCTCCCTGTGCCCTGTTCATGCCACCTGCCTGCTACTCTACTTTGTCATCCTCTCTCCCCGTGAACACCAGTCAGTTCCTTCCTTAGCTAAGTCTCCCTTCAGACTT